CATCACCTGGTTCTGCTGCGACCTGAACGACTGAGAAGAGAACAAAGCAGCACATGAGCTCCACGGACGCCATCAGCAGCACTGAGGAGATTTCCTTTGACTTGTCTTGTGTGAGTGTGTTGCATAAAAACGACAGTAAGTTCTGATCTTGAACCTACATACATAATACAAATTTAAACGTACTGTCATGTCCCATCAGGGCCTGCAACTCAGAACACACGTTAGATCATTAACAATCTAAGTGCTGTATGTCATCATAAACACTGACTGATGTGCGTGGAGCGGTCTGATAACACACATACCTTCTTTGTTCTTTAAATCTTTATATCTAAAGTACATGAAGACCCCAAAGCCGACAGCCAGGAGAACCACAGGAACCAGGACACCTGAGAGAACTTTGGGCCAGACTGGAGGAGGAGTGGGACCAGGAGGAGGACGTTCTGTCCACACAAACACAAACAACCTGAAGATCACCAGCAGATTCTCAGAGTATGACTCTGACCTCTGACCTTTATCGACAGCACTGACCTGCCACCCTCAGTTGCAAATGGGTCTTGCTCTGATCTTGTCCATATCTTCGGGTGGTGCAGGTGTAGGTGCCGGTGTCATTGACTATGGGCTTCCTCAGCGTGAGGCTGAGGTCTCCGGTCTGCAGAGCGTCGGCTCTCATCGATGTTCGGTTGAAGTAAATCACATTCTGTCTCGTGAGATCGTCGCCGCTCTGCAGACGCAGATGGACTGTCGGGCTGCTGAGGTCCTTGCGGTCCCAAACCACTGCTGTGGCGTCCTGATAAACGTCCTCTGGTACCTGACAGGGCAGCATGACAGACTCCGCCCCCTCATACACCTCCAGCCCGAGGCATGCTTGAAAACTGAGAGGACAAACAGGAAACAGGTGAGAGCGGTGATGTTTTTAAGGCCCGTGAGACAGAATGACTTCAAACACTTTAAATGTAAAGATGAGCACCAGTGAGCGAAACCAGCAGGCAAAACCAAAAGAACCAGAGCAGGAAAAACGGGGAATAACAGGGATCCACCAACCGTCACCCACACTCTGGTTTTAAGCTGGAAAACAGTTCTTTCTTCTTTTATTGCACAAGGTCTTAAATACTGTTCATCTCTAATATCAATGACTTCATGTTCACCAAGTTTCAAAGCTGTTTCTATTCAAGGGTTCGTCTGGCCGGCTGAATAACTACAGCCAAATAAAAAAACAACCCGGGAGCTTACAAAGCCCGAGCCCAGTCCTCATGTTGCTGCTTCTCTGCCTTAAAAAGCACCAGGCGGAGAGAAACCCTGACAGATGTTTGAAACTGACCCACAGTTATGGGACTTCAAACAAGTCAAGCCAGCTGAAAAAAGTGTAGGAGCTTTGTCTTAGTGCACCCTTTTTACTCATCAGCCATAAAAGACTGACGGTCCAGTCGTAGGATTCCAAACTGATAGCATGGTGCAGCTTCATCTTGGATCAGTTTGAATATCAGGGACCATCCCAAGGTCAGAGGTCACCTTAGGATTTTCCCATTTGTACGATAGATGCATCTACTGGGAAGCTGAGGGGTGCCAGCACTTTACATACAGCAGATTTGAAAGGGTAACACGTGTAACAGCAGACTGCAGTATTAACCACACATTATACCTTTATGACAGCCCATTGCAGCAGAGGGGCTTTAATAGGCTGCTGGGTCCCTTTGCCTCTCCTGGGAAGAACTGGCTGTCCTGAGCCGGCTGTGAGCACACCAGGACACAAAACTAACAAACTGAGAAATTTAGGAAGCGAATACAAAGTAAGAAGTACTGTGGCTAGGACCAGAGAGCACACAGCACACAGGGAAGACACCAGGGACTTTCAAAATAAAACAGGAAACACAGCTCAGAGACTTCAGGCATATAAACCTGACACTGGACAAGGCGAACAACCACAGAGACGAAGCGCAGAGCGAGAGGGGACACATGGGGACAGAGAGTGGACGGACCTCCACAGGAGACGCTGAGGACAAAGAGACAGGAAACACCGAGCCGGAGACACTGGAATGACCTAAAAGCACAAAGGCGGAGCTCCAGTCATCATCAATCCAGGACAAACTCACAACACAAAGACACAAAGACACACCGCTGTGTCTAACAAAGTGTACTTTCAATAGGCTGATACCTCAGAGCTGGTATCATCACGAGCAGGGACGTACAGCAGAAACATCTGTTATCACCTAACGCCACGCCCCCTTACCCACACATGCCACACATACCACAAACACGAACAACCTGTCTCACCAGGACTTGTAAGCGTCATCACAGCCTCACGTCACTACTGAAGCCACAGCAACCGTTTGTAAGAACTTTATTAGAAACAGCCAAACCGCACAAGCTGCTAGCATTGCTAACTCCCTGCTACATCCATCCATCAATGACGCCTCCCCACATGAAGGGCTCCTCCTCCGTCAGGGATGTCTCGTGGGCTCAGAGACGTGTCTGTGTTTCGGGTTTTCGCGTGTGTCACGGGGAGCTGACTGCATCCACCGGCACGAAGGCCGCACGGGGAGCTGCGGACGGCACAAATCACTGCACCGCGGTCTGTACCCACTCTGTGTGTCAGGAGGCTCCTGCACAGACAGACACGACAGGCCAGTCTGTGGGCGGCTGTGTGTGCTGCCGTGGGCGTTAGCTAATAAAAATATAGAATAAAATATAAATAGGAAATAATGCAAGAAGGAAATGAACAGACACGACAGGCCAGTCTGTGGGCGGCTGTGTGTGCTGCCGTGGGCCGGTTAGCTAGAGCGTTTTCCTGTCGGCTTTCTCACCTTTGAACTTTTTAGTTACGCCGGTCTTCGCGCGCGCCCATTCAAAGAGGATAAGAGTGGGTTTCTTACCGTGGGGCTTCTTTATCCTCCATGAAGACTCCCGCAAACACAGAAAAGCACAGCAAAACACCGACAGCTCTCATAGCGGTGCTTCGTCACGCCACGCCCACTGTGACGTGGTTTACTTTCGGTTTCAGGGGAGTTCCCGGGGATCACGCGTGTGTGGTGGAATGTGCCCGGGCAGGAGTTCCAGGTATGCGGGGTGGAGGAAAGGTGGGGCTGATTTAGACTGTAGAGGACTTCTGTGGTGGATTCATTTTCATAAAGTGGAAACAAAATGAAAGATATAATCACACTGAAGCAGCTCACACGTAGCAAAACACACCTCAAAGATCACGAGTGGTAATAATGTCTCAGATATGAGGGAGAAGAAGCAGGAAGTACCAGAGCATGGTAACATTACATGTAATCCCTCAGAGTCAGTGGACTGAGTTATCCTGTGCGTGGGTTAGTGACTAATTAAAATCCCTCAAATAATGGAGCTTCAGGAGAAACAAAGAAGAAGAGGAGCAGAGTGAAGGATGAAGGTCGTCCATCAGACCCAGAGTGTCCTCAGCTTCCTGTTCAGAGACAAACATCACTGATGTCAGCTGTTCACCTCTGACCTTTATTAATACCTCACAACAATGGCAATGCACAACACCTGGATCAGCTGACTGCTCTGAAACAGACAGAAACAGAAGGTCAGAGTGGTCACAGCCAGGCTGGTCCTGGATCAGATTCTGTCAGCATATAAACCCGTCTGCATGTGTTTCCAGGCTGATGGGGGACGACGGCGCCGACGCCAAACACAAGCACTTCAACTACGATAAGATCATGGAGCAGCAGAACCTGAGCAAGAAGAAGAGGAAGAAGCTGATGAAGAAAGAGGAGGAGACCTTCAGGTGAAAAGCCTCCACTCTGGTGAGCAGTGAACATCTGATCTCACATATAATCCAGTGATCCAGCGTTCGTTTCTGGCTCACCGTTAGCCCACAATAGAGTAGAATAGAGTAATCTTTATTGTTTTCATACAGCAACAACAAAAATTATACTCTCTCCTTTTACAAACAGGAAAAAAAGACCTTATTACACTTTATCATTATTATTATTATTATCACTGCAAGTTATCCTCCTGCATGTGACATGTGGAGCTAGCTGGTTCTGATTGGTTCTGATTTGTCCGTACGCAACAGGATCATTTTATGTGACATCGTCTGATTGATAAGCAAACAGGTTTTCCTGTTTAGGCTCAGATCCTTTTGATGTTTAGAGGCTCGCAGTGACGTGAAACATCCCAAATGTATTAGAGCAAACGTAAGGAGCCTGTTTTGAAAATGTAAGTAGAAAGTACACTTAAAGTGCTTAAAATAAGGGAGAAAGAATTAGTCAGGTACCTGAAAATTCTACTTAAATACAGTAAGAAAGTATTTGCACTTTGTTACTTCCCACCTCTGCGGACCACTAAAATCCACATCTTTGAAATGATGTAATAAAATATGCAGGAGTTTAGCCCTGCTGCCTCTTAGCAAGAAGGTTTGAATCCAGTCTAGGTTCTATATTGGCTGTAAGTGTGAGTGTGAATGATTGGAAACATGGAAACAGTCATGGGAGAGACACAGAGAGACATGTTAAGAGGGACATGACGGGCTGGGGAGAACATACTTGATACACATGTGTTTCATGGAGTGAGGGAACATGTAAGCAACAAGGGGAGACCAAACACAAAGGCATGGCTGGGGCCCAGGGAACAAGGAAGTGAGAGACACAGATGTAACAGCGGCACTTGTCTCCGTTTCACCACCTTCAGGACTTAGTCCAGCAACAAGCTTTGGAAGCACAAGCAAGACCATGGGACTGTCCTTTCAACAAAGATCTTTAATGAGACTTTAAATTAACATGGCAAGACTCCATGCCTATCTGACTCCCCACATGTAATTACCACATACCAAAAAGCACATCAGAACTTCACATTTCCATATCTTATGTTTTTACCATAGCGGTATTTTGAAATTATATATTCAACAATAAAAATGTATATTTCTCATTTTACCAGTACCAAGAAACCAGCCTTTAATTGGCTCTTACAACAGACAAACTGGAAACACAGGAGAGACCAAAACATCACAGGAACCTAACACACCAAACAGTAAACAGGGAACACAACGAACTCAGAATCACCTCAAGACTAACTAATGAACCTAAAATCATTATACGTAACAATCACCAAAACAAAAGAAAGTCAGAGTCCTGGGTCAAATGACCCACATCCATCAGGTTTACTGATTGTTGAGTACCACCCTGAGCTGGAGCGGTGCTGTGGAGGCTTCCCCCACTACAGAGAGCAAAGAGACACTGAAGAACCGTATGACAATAACCAGAACCCAGGATAAAGAGTTTGAGTGAATGTGGTGTTGAAGGTGTGGAGGTGGATCAGAGTGTCAGAGGAGACTCTGTAGAAGGACAGAGTGCCAGCAGGACAGTCCACATACACTGCTGCTCTGTTAGAGACAGAGGAGGAGGAGGCGGAGGAGGCGGAGGAGGAGGAGGAGGAGAGGTCTGTTCTGCTGTTATTGTGACACACAGAGTACTGATCAGCATCGGAGCACCTCAAACTCCACGACTGACTGTTTGCTCCAAACCTGCCGTCATTGCTGCCTCCTCTCCCTGTGACTCCTCTGTAAGTCACTGAAACGTGAACCTCTCCGCTCCACTCCACCTCCCAGTAACAGCGACCAGTCAGACCATTTGTACACAGCAGCTGAAGCCAGTACTCAAACCTCTCTGGGTGATCAGGATAAGGCTGCTCCTCTGTTACTGCCGTCACTCTTCTGTTGTTGTCGGACAGTTTAAGTTTTCTGTGCACTGAGTTTGTGTCCAGTTTAAGATCACGGGAATCTGATGGAGAGAAGAAGAAACAACAAGACTTCATCTGCTGCCTTCTCCACAGGCTGATGGAGACAGCTTCACAGTGATTCATCCTCTAGAATCTTTAGTGTGATTTAAACTAGTGTAATGCGTGCTGTCTTATTTTCATAAATCAAAGTGAGCACACACTCACACTTCCTCAGACCAGGTTTCAGCCTCTGCTCTCCACCGTGGTCCAGCCTGGAAGAAGAAACATATCTGAATTCATCTTTAA